TGCTTCTTCTTTTTTTAAAAATTTTTTTTAAATTATTTTGTTTTGTTTTGGAGCTGCGTTTCTGAAGACATGCAGCACCCTCCAAGGTTTCTCCCTTGCTTCCTCTCCCAGGTGGTTCCAGGTGTGTTTGGGCGTGTGATGGGTAAGAGCCGCGAGGCAGTTGCCCAGGCCATGGTGCTGGAGATGTTCCGCGAGGAGGACTACTACAATGACGACGTTCTGGACCAGATGGGCGCCAGCATCCTGGGTGTCGAGGGCCCTCGGCGCCACCCAGACGAGCCGCCAGATGATGAAGTCTTTGAGCTCTTCCCGATGTTTGTGGGAGGGCTTCTCTCTGCCCACAACCGGGCCATGCTGGCTCAGCTTGGCTGCCCAATTAAAAACATGGATGTCCTAGAGAATGCCCAGGCCATCAAGAAGAAGCTGGGCATGCAGGGCCGCCAGGTGCTGCCCCCTTCAGAGCTCCTTGACTACCTCTTCTTTCACTACGAGTTCCAGAATCAGCACTTCTCTGCTGAGGTGCTCAGCTCTCTGCGCCAGCTCAACCTAGCAGGTGTGCGCATGACACCCCTCAAGTGCACTGTGGTGGCAACTGTCCTGGGCAGCGGAAGACATGTCCTGGATGATGTGAACTTGGCATCCTGCCAGCTGGACCCCGCCGGGTTGTGTACCCTCATGCCTGTGTTACTGCGTGCCCGGAAGCTGGGGTGAGGACCATTCTCCCATAGGCATATGTATGAGGAGAAGAGAGGGTTGAGGCAAAGAGATGGGGAACGAAGGGGAAGTCTTTGTAGGACATCATGCTGGGAAAAGTGGAGGGTCAGAGGGAGAGAGGAAGACACCCCCCCAGACGAACTGACAGAGTGATTGTAACAGTGGGTCTGAGCATATCAGAGATGACAAGGAGGGTGAAGGATTGGGCAAGGTGTTCATGGGGTTGCCGTGAGTCTTAGTTTACTTGATGGAATCTAACAACAACAATAACCAGGAAACCAAAGGTACTAAAGAAGCCCCAGGGGCCGAAGTTTGTAACAGCTAAGGGAGAGCAAGTGTGGACTGCAGGAGGCAGGGTGGTGAGAAAAGGGTAGATGCCATGTTGAATTGGTTGGTCTCCCTTCCTTTCTCTTCCCTGCCCTCCGGCCACTGCCTCCTGTTCCAGTTTACAGCTCAACAGCCTGGGCCCCGAGGCCTGCCGGAACCTCAGAGACCTGCTCCTGCATGACCAGTGCAAAGTCACCACTCTGCGGTGAGTGTCAGGGGTGAGCTTCCTGCCTCATACATACATTGCACAGACTGCCGCCCCCAAAATATTATAGTAAAGGCAGTGGGATTCTAGGTTCTTCCACTCTTCAGGTCCAGTACAAGCAGCCAGACTGGGGGAGGGAAAAAATACCACCAGCAATTGGTGCTTAGAAAGCCTCTCACGTGGCTAAAATTAGCCTGTGTGGGAAGAGGGGGTGGGGAGTGAGGAGGCAAAATAATACCAGGCAGGTTGCCTGGTAACAGGGCCAGGATGTTCCCTGCAGCCTCGCAAGGATAACGCTGGTGCTGGGCACTCGGAGATGCTCCCACCGTGTTGACTGACTGACTTGGAAGACAGGAGATAGTAAAGAGGAGGAGGAAGGATAGGGAGAAGAGAGTTGGTGTGTGGTGGGGGGGGGTGAGGAGGAAGAAAGGAGACAAGGAAAGATGACCACTCCAGTCTCCCTCCTCTGCTGCATACGCGTCTCCTGCTCCTGCTCACTCTTCTCCTGGGGTGGTATTTTTGTGTGTTCAGGCTCACCTGCACCCTAGCCTGTGCACCATTTTAGCTTAAATCCTAAAGTTTAGCATAGCCATCTGCAGTGGGTCTTCATAAGCTTGGGTTGATTGGCTTTAGGTTGTCCAACAACCCGCTGACGGCAGAGGGCGTGGCCCTGCTGGTGGAGGGACTAGCCAGAAACACCTCACTGACACATCTGTCCCTGCTGCACACCGGTCTTGGGGACGAGGGCCTGGAGCTGCTGGCTGACCAGCTGGACCGAAACCAACAGCTGCAGGAGCTGAACGTGGCCTACAATGGCGCGGGCGACAGGGCTGCTCTGGCTCTGGCCAAGGCTGCCAGGGAACACCCTTCCCTGGAGCTGCTGCAGTGAGTACTACCTATCCTGTCCACCCCACCACCTCCCCAGCACCATTAGCCTGGCCTCCTGGACTCTGCAATCCTTGTCACTATGCCTCTCCTCCACTAGAGGGCGCTTTAGTCTTCAGCCCTGTGCTTATCCTCTGCTTGATTCTTCTGATGATTTCTTGTCATCCTAGATCTTAGCCAACCCAACCCACTCAGTGATTGGCCTTTATCCTGCTCTATTCCCTAACACATTTCTCATATGACCCTGGTGACCCTATTCCTACTATCCCTTGTTCTGGGACTTGTAGTGCTAATCCCTATCCCATGTTGCCCACCATCTTCCATTTCTGGCTTATTGTAGACAGTGTCCCATTACATTCCACAGCTAGTGAGCCTATTGACCTTCTGCCCACCCATCCTCTGCCCTCTCCTTCTCAGAGCCCTGCTGAATGATTTCTACTCTTTTCTTTTATACCAGCCTCTACTTCAATGAGCTGAGCTCTGAAGGCCGCCAGGTTCTACGAGACTTGGGGAGCACGGCTGAAGGTGGTGCTCGGGTTGTAGCATCTCTGACAGAGGGAACAGCAGTGTCCGAGTACTGGTCAGTGATCCTCAGTGAAGTCCAGAGGAATCTCAACAGCTGGGACCGGGCCCGGGTCAAGCGCCACCTTGAGCTCCTGCTGCGGGATCTGGAAGACAGCCGGGGTGCCACCCTCAATCCTTGGCGCAAGGCCCAGATGCTACGTGTGGAGGGCGAGGTCAAGGCTCTCCTGGAGCAGCTGGGAGGCTCTGGAAGCTGAAACAGTAAATGTGGACAACAAACTGTGTGACCATTGGCCTCTAAACCATTCCCTCTGTGGCCTCCTGACTTGCACTGCTCCTTGAAAGATCCCTTGAAGGGCTAGAGGCAAAGGAATGGGCATGGCTATGCCAGCTGTATTTCTAAGGCATGTCCGATCAGTGCCCTCAAGGCTGCAATTTCCAGGGTCAAAGATGAGAGATTGGTACTCTCTAGACTTGTAGAGGCAACGTACCTTCTCTATCTTCTTTTAAAAGGACTGAAGGGTGGGATATTTGGTAGCCACATTGCCCTTAAGAATCATCCCCAAGCTGCACTGCAATCCCAGAGGTACCCGGTTCAAATCCACCAGATGCTCTGCTGGAGGAGGGACAATCTCCTCCTGTACCAGTCAGATCTGATTCGATGGTACACACAAACAAATATAATAATTTTTTTTTTAAAAAAAAGTAAAAAAAAGAATCATCCCCAGCCTTGCATCCCCAAAGGACCAAGGTGGTGTGTGTTTTATGTTCATCATGCTAAGGGAGTTGCCATCCACCAGAGGCAGTGGAGGGTCTAAACACCTATCTATCCAGAATCAGCCTCCACTTGCTGCCTTCAGCCAGCGTGTGGCCATTAAGAATGCTTGCATCCTCTTTCCTCTCATATTGGTGCTTTCTCCTCACTTCCTACCTACTTTACCATGGTGATGCCTATGATTCAGAGGCTCTTCGGGCAGGTGCTCTGACTTCTGCCATTAAAAGCTGTGTGTCTTCCTTGAGTGTTGCTTTTCTTAGTAATTCCGGTTCCGTTACTGACCACGGTCTGTCGTAAGTTGTCTTGAGTTTTGTCCTTTTGAGAATCAAATCCAGTATATGTTACAGAGATTTAGTTTAAGAACGTGGCTGGGTTGTAGAGGCTGGGGAGTCCCAAGGTCATAGGTCATACAGCGGACTGAAGGATTCTTCTGACTCATGTAGCTGCAAAGGCTGGTAAAACCAAGATGGGCAGGTCAGACAGCCGGCTGCAGGTGGGGACAGTTCCAGGATTGACTGGCAATTCAGCAGGTCCCTAGCTCAAGTCTCAAGAACTGGAGATCAGACGATCATGAGCCAGATGCGGTGTCTAACGTGGACAAAAAAAGAGAGCTTTACCAGGATGTCCATACATGTTGGACCCAAACTACACCTCTGAGGAACTCCCTTTAACTGATTGACTGGTCATAGCCTATCTCATCATGGAGATGATTAAGTCATAAAACAGAGGGTGACTATATTGTTACATAACTTCAAATGATATACATAATTGCCAAACTATATCATACTATCAAACCACTAAGAATCAAAGCCCATCCAAGTTGACCTACCACTTTACCCCTCACACAAGCGGTTCTTGAACAATGAGAGAAGCCCATGAACAAGAAACTCGAATGGGCTCATGTTGGGCCGTAGAAGTCTATTACCTTTCTTGTATTTCCCCCTTGGTTTGGGATGAGAGTGGCCAGACATCTGCCTTTCCCTGTACATGGGGGAATAAGGACAGTAGAAGAGGGGCCCCAGAGAAAGATGAGACCCAGAAGAACTACATCTCCCACATTCCAGTGGCTTAAGACACTCAGACTCCGAAGGCAGCCCAAATACCCCTGGAAGAGCACCCCCAGGAGAAACAAGCTTGATCACATTGTTATTATCAAGTTTCCCCTGATCACTGAGTCAGCCATAAAAAGACAGAAGACAACACAGTTGTGTTCATTGTGTCAAGAACAACAAGCACAAAATCAAAGAAGCTGTGCAGAAGTTCTGTGACATTGATGTGAACAAGGTCAACAATTAGGCCTGATAGAGAGAAGGCTTGTGTTCTGACTTGCTCCTGATTATGATGCCTTGGATGTTGCCAACAAAATTGGGATCATCAAAACTGAATCCAGCTGGCTAATTTTATGTCTTTCTTTCTTTTTCCTGGTTGTGTACAGTTTAATCAGATCCAACTGGCACAGGGGGAGATTGCCCCTCTTTCTCCAGCAGAGCATCTGGTGGATTCGAACTGCGTGCCTTTAGGATTGTAATGCAGCTTCTTTCCACAAGGCCACCAGAGCTCGCTCAGCTGGCTAATTTTAAATACAAATTTTTCTCACGAAAAAAGAAAGATGCTCATTCCCCCTTCCCCCACCAGGGGTAAGATTTTCGTCCCTATTAACCTTTACTCCCAGCTTCTAAGGCAGCATCTTCAAGGAGGCGGGACCTGGGTAGGGGGAAGTAGAAGGGAGGATCAGCTGGGGATGAACCTTGGACCCACTCTGAGTCCTGGATTACTGATCCAGCCATGGAGGCCTCTACAGGTAGGAGGAGGAGGCTGAGAAAAAGCCTTCATGGGAGTGATTTGAGGCAGTCCAGGGGCAGGTTTGGAGGCTAAGCCTCTGGGCTCCGGAGCATGCTTGAGGCTGGGGCTAAGAAATCAGAGACAGGTTAGAGAGGGAAGACCAGGTAATGTTTGTTTTGGTGGCCCACACCCTGTAGTGAAATGCTCAGATTTTTATGTTCAGGATTGGAGGAGGAGGAAAGGAGACGTAATAGCCTAGTACCCTCTAGTGTATGACTTCAGTGGGAAGGAATACCTCTTTCCAGGAGAACTGAGGGCCGAGTCTTATGGTAGGGCTTCCCCTGAGTCTTTTCAGTGTAAGACCGTAGAGCAGTATGGAGGGAAGAATGAGAGTGCTTTCCCCTCACCACTTCTCTTCCCCAGATCTTCGGGACACAGCCTCTTTAACTCTGTAAGTACCCTGCGGGGACAAGGGGAAGAGAGGTAAAAGATGGGGCAGTTTCTCTGTTAGCACCTAAAGCAGAGGCCTCTTATTTCCTTATAGGAAGTTTGACTTTAACCCAAAGCTGGGGATTGATAATCCTGCCCTCTCCTTGACTGAAGAGCATGACTTCCCTGGTAATAACCCCTCACCCCAACAGCCATTCTCTTTTCCCCTTGAAGGCACCACAGTGCCACACAGCCTCCCATCTTCTCACTTCTGTCTCATGATAGCAGTCGTGGCTGGGAGTAATTACAAAGAGGCAGGATGGGCATCAGCAGTTTCCTTCCATCCTGACCGCTCTGACCACACCCAGCCTTGGGGTACACCTGCCTGGTGTCTTATGGGGAGGTGGGTGACAGGGAAGGGTCTGCCAGAAACGACCTGTCCTTGGGCCATACTCCTCCCTTTTCTGCTGCCTGACTCCCCCTCCAGATTCCTGGAACCTGGAGCAGCCTCGCTTCTGCCTGCTGACCAAAGAGGAGGGCAAGAGATTTGGCTTCCAGCTGCAGCAGGAGCCAGGCGGAACCGGGCATGTGGTAGGCGGGGTGGATCCGGGCAGCTCTGCACAGCAGCAGGGTCTTCAAGTAGGAGACCGGATCCTGGCGGTGAACTGTGATGTCGTGGAACACGAAGACTATGCAGCGGTGAGACTGGGTGGGAGCTCTGTGCCGTGGGTGTGGGTGAGCGTTGGCCAGGATCCCAGGGAGAGAGCAGCTGTTACCTTCTGGAGCACCATGTGAGGGGAAGGGCTCCAGCCTCCCTCCTAGGATTCCATGGTGCTTAGTTTGAAAGGGTTGGGTGAAGGTATCCAGAGATCTAGTTCCCTGGTGAAAGTGTGGGTGCCAGGGGTGAGGGAGCTGGTATGAAAGGCAGGCCCTAACCTCACCACCCACCCCATTCAGGTGGTCCGCTGTATCCGGGCCAGCGGTCCTCGGGTGCTGCTGACAGTCTTGGCACGGCACGTGCACGACGTGGCCCGAACTCTGCAGGGCGACAATGTTCACTGCTGTCCTTGCCTCGGCCCAGGGGTCCGGCCCCGGCTGTGCCACATAGTGAAAGACAAGGGTGGCTTTGGTTTCAGCGTCACCCACGGTGAGTACAGAGGGTTGAAGGTTGGTCCAGAGCGAAGCACTCAGTCTCTGCTGGGGCCAGGCAGGCAATGGTTTTTGTTTTGTTTCCTTCCAGGAGAACATGGTCCTTACTGGCTGGTGCTGAACTCAGGTGGAGCAGCTGAGCGGGCAGGGGTGCCCCCTGGTGCCCGACTTCTGGAAGTGAACGGCGTCAGTGTGGAGAGGATCGCTCATAGGCAACTCAGGAAGGTACAGCAGCCTATTTCACAGGCCTCCTTGCTCATCCCCGCAATGTCCGAGGTCGGTTTTGTCCCCATGCACCTCATCCTTACTCTGCTCTTTTTTCTCCATGACCACTCTTCCCTTCATCCTTAGTGCCTCAGTCCTGGGCTTGGGAGGAGGGGCATTGAGGAGGGCTTCTCCCCCTCCCCAGGTGGTTGAAGCTGATGCTATGTTGGGCCCTTACAGCTTTGGCAGCATGGAAAGCATGTGACCCTGCTGGTGGCAGGGCCAGAGGTGGAGGAAAAATGTCGCCAGCTTAGAATGCCATTGGCTGCACCTCTGGCAGAGGGCTGGGCACTGCCCACCAGGCCCCGCTGTCTACATATAAAGAAAGGGCCTCAAGGCTTTGGGTTCCTGCTTCGGGAGGAAAAGAGCCTTGGTGGTCGCCAAGGTGAGTGGGGGCCTTGGGCTAGGGGGCAGATGCGCTTTGGACCTCCTCCTCCTGTGTACCCTCAGGACAGGTCCCCGATGTGCCACACAGTGGCCTGGGGTGGCACTGGGTACAATGGAGGAGGAACAGTGAGGATGTTTCTGTCACAGGGCATTTTCTGCGAGAGGTGAACAGAGGACTGCCTGCTGAGGAGGCTGGGATGCAGGCTGGGGACCGGCTGGTGGCCGTGGGTGGGGAGAGCGTGGAGGGGCTGAGCCACGAGGAAACAGTGTCCAGGATCCGAGCACAGGGCTCCTGCATCTCCCTCATTGTCGTTGATCCTGAAGCTGACCGCTTCTTCAGCATGGTGAGAGCTGCGGGACTAGGGCTGGATTCATGGTAGGATAGGAGCAGGGCGCAGGTGGAGGGAGAAACCGCATGTTTGTTCTGTCCACCTCCTCCAGGTCCGCCTGTCCCCACTCCTCTTTTTGGAAGGCACAGAGGCACTTGCCTCTCCTGAGGACACTCTCTCAGCCCCATTGGTTGAAACCAGTGGCCTGCCACCCGAAGACACACCTGTCCTCCCTGCCCTGTCTGGCTCTAAACGGTGCTTTCTGTACCCTGGGCTTGGCGGTGGCTACGGCTTCCAGCTCAGCTGTGGGCCCGAGGTGCCTATTGTCATCTCCCAGGTAATAATGAATGCCCCATGGGCCTTGGATCCTTTTAGTATTTGTCTCCCAATGAGTTCCTCTACCATCCTCCCACAGCCTAGTGCACCCATCAAACTCTTCCACTGCATGTTCTGTATCCCTTAATACCTTCAGGTGACCCCAGGAAGCTCAGCTGCCTGGGCTGGACTGCAAGCAGGGGATGTGATCCTGGAGGTGAATGAGCATCCTGTGGGTGCAGAGAATGACCCAGCAAGTCTTCGGAAACTTTTTGAAACCAAACCACCCCTCTGCTTGAAGCTGGCAGCCAGGACTCAGCATGGCTGGGAAACCTGGACTCATTCAAAGTCTAGAGAGGTGAGGAGGAAGAGACAGAGAGATAGATGGGCCTGTGGGCAGCAGGAAAGGCAGGCAGGAAGCTCTGGAGCTGTGCAGGTGTGAGGGTTAGGGCTTATGGAGGTGATGTAGTGGAGTACAAAATTGCTGGTAGTGCAAACTTTTAACACATTCATCTGCTAACTGAAAGGTTGGAGGTTTGAGTCCACCCAGAGACATCTGGAAGAAAGGCATTGTGGTTTACTTCTGAAGAATCAGAATAGCATATGTCTTGGAGAAGGTGCAGCCAGAGTGCTTCTTGGAGGCAAAGAGAATCTTTGTCTCACATAGTTTGGGCATGCTGCTAGGACCGGCTATTCATTGCAGAGGGATGTCATGCTTGGAAAGGTGGAAGGACAGGGAAGGAGAGGAAGACCCTCAACCAGGTGGATTGATGCAGTTACTGCAGCAACGGGCTTGAGGGTGTCAGAGATAATGAGGATGGCATGGGATATGAGTTTCACTGGACTTGATGGGACCTAACAACAATAACAACATGCTGGATTGCATGGGGTCCCCATGTGTCAGAGTCAGTTCAAAGGCAACTGGCTTTTGGGTATATGGAGGACAGGACCCATGGGACAAGTTCCATTCTTAGGCATTCTACTGCAAATGTGAGGGGAAAGAACAGGAATTCTTGTGGCCCCTAACTTACCTGCTTTTTTCTTTTTCTATTTAGGACTGTGCTCCAGCCACAACCATACTATAGTGCCTCCTGTTTGGCCCAGAGCTGGCCAGCGTTCCTCTTGGCTTCACTCTCCACCCTGAGGTGGTAGGCACAGAGATGCTTTTTTTTTTTATATTTTTATTAGAGATGCTCTCTTGAAGAAGTCCTTGGAGCTCAAGGAATCTTGACACAGGATTGCCCAGGCTCCCTCTGATTCCATGGACCTATGAAGGGTGTGGTCAGAAGACTCTTGAAGACCCACAGGGGCACCTCTTCCCCAGCTGACCTTCCTCTTTGATGCCAGAGAAGGTCACATGGGAACTTTGGAACATGTACCCTAAGAATAATGTTCTGACTGAAGGGTGGGTGGTGAGGTTCAAAAGGATTGAAGTCCTCTGGAACTTGTCCTAAACATGCGCCCCAAGAGTCTGGAGCCCAGCACACCTTCCCTGTGTGGAGACTTTAGGGTTCTGGAGGCACAACCACTGGAGTGTTTACATGGTCGCCATAGAGTATGATGTTTTGTGTTGGTTTTTTCCCCCCCAGGATAAAATTGTTTGTTTTCTTTTTTTTAATTATTATTAAATTTTATTAGTTTTAATGAACATTTACAGAAATTTTGGGTTTTCATTCATTCATTGTTGCATTGTTTTCTCTACCCTCCTCCCCAGTTTGTTCTTCTTTCCTTCCCCGAATGTCTGTTTTAATTGTCCAATTGCCACAGTGCTTGTCAAAGCCAGTTCTGATTAATCTCCTTTGTCAGTGTGTCCTTTGCCATTCCCTATCACTCCTCCCTGAGAGAGACTTCACCCTGATTCATAAGGAAAAGGGCGTATTCTCTTAGCTACTTCCTGCTGTAAAGGGATGCTGTGGGTTTCAGGGTGAAGATCTTCTCTTACTACTCTAAAGGCCCCTTTGGCAGTAGGAAACACATAGACTATTATGGAGATTGATTTTGGAATTTAGATGCACTGTTATCAATTGTGCTTAGCTGTACATGTCAGTATGATATAGTAATGGCCCTTCTTCACACTTCTGGCTGCCTGTTGTTCGCTGGTGACAGCAGGAAGGTGCTGGTTTGGAGAGACAAAAAGGGCTTCGGGCTCAAGAGTCGGGACCCAGTTTTTGTAGGAGTGAGGTAGAGATCTGATCAAACCTCTCTCATGTTATTCCGTCTTAGTGGTAATGTGTTAGGGGGCTCTGGCGGTCTAGTGGGTAAAAAGGTGTGCTGCTTGCCCAAAGGTGGCACCTCTCTAGTGGTCTGAATCCACCAACGCCTCCGTGGGAGAAAGAGGGGCAGTCTTCTCCCATGTAATTTATAACCTTGGGAGGCCCATTAGAGGGTGAATTATGAGCCGTTTCCTACTTGAGGGAAATTAATTGAGCTGAGTTTGAGTTGTAACAGGTCAGCCCAGAACTGCTATGTCCCCAGGAGAGGTATTTCTCTCTGCCAGATGTCTACAGTCCACACAGCTCCACTGAGTTCCACATCAAGACAGCTTTATTTCTGGAGCCTCAGAGGGTCCACCCTGGAGACCACAGACTTGGAGGCTCAAAGGTCCAGGGGATTCAGTCCAAACTGGCGCAGCTGCTCTTTGTGCCTGGCGTGGAGTCTCAATGCGGCCTTGTCCCACTGAGGCTTGATGGCTCTCAGCTTAGCCAAGAGTCGGTCCAAGCTGTCCTGTAGAAAGCAGTTTCAGCCCCCAGAAGAAAGAGTGAGATGTTGGGGTGCCCCAGGCCAAAGAGGAAACTTCCTGGCTCATGGTTTCTTAAGGTTCTTTTTTCTCCGTGGGAGGGAACTTTGCATCCCCTAACTTTTGACCTTCAGAATGGCGTAGAGCTCCCTGGGGACATGTTTCTTCCCTCTCATCATGCCTGCCTGGTCTGTTAGTCATTGGTTGGAATTTGGAGCTGTGGTGGTGTAGGGGGAGTGTAGGGCACTGGAGGGGGCCAGTCTGCAGAGGGTGCTACTTACATGTAAGATTTCCTCATACTCAGCCTCCATGTCTGCTACATGGGCCCGAAGCTGAGCCAGAGTGCGGTCCCGCTCGTCGAGGGCCTGTTGAGCTGCGCCCTGGGCAGCCTTGGCCTCTCTCTGGCATGTTTCTTGTGGGCAAGAGGAGGGGATGAGGCAGAGGATGAAAGAGGGAGGATGGAAACTCTCTCCACCCTTGTACTAGAGTCTCAAGTACTTGAAGCAGGACTTGAGTGGAAGCAGCTAAACTTCCCCAGGGCCATCCACTTTGCTGTGGTCCCTGTAAAAGCTGAAAGCCCAAGGAAGCCTAGGAGGGAAAGTAGAAGCTTGGGGCAGGATCACTCCTTGAAAAACCTGATAACATCTAAGGTAACCCAGCAACCAAAGCAAATACCAGACCAAAGACCAAAGCAGACAATGGATCCTGATAAGGATCTGAGCCTAATCACAAAAGCCCAAATTCAAATTAAGTAACAGTCCCAGATTCCAAGCAAAATACCATTTCCCCTACTCTCTCCCAGAATGCCTATAAAGAGGCCTCTCTAGACCACCCAAGAGCCATTTTGACCTTCTTTGCTTGTGTCACTAAAGGCCTGTTTATTTCCTGGGCCGGTTTCTTTCTCTCTCTCAACTCTTTTTCTGTCTAACATCACCAGTCTGGTGAAAACCTCAAGTGTGCCTCTCTCTGAGTCTCTGTTTCTTCATCTTGAAAGGGAGAATAATATATGCCTTACCGGGTTGCTGAGCTAAATGTGGATAATATATGGGAAAGTGCCTGCTGTAGAGAAATGCTCAATAAATGTTGGCTGGATTTGAATCTGAGAGAGGGGAGAGATTAGATGAGGAAGCCAGTGTCTGCATGCTGGATAAGCAGCCCCCAGATAGCTGTAGTTAAACTGCAGATGTATTAAATTAATAAAATTTGGAGGCCGAACTAATGAAATCTCTGTGTACCGTGCTGAGAGATTTCAATTTTATCCTGTAAGCAAAGGAGCAAGAGGGCAAAGACTGTTTTTATATTTTTGCTGATTTGGGGAAGTGTTATTCATTCACTGAGCAAGTAGTTGTTGAGGACCTACTATGTGCTAGGAGTCCTGGGTGGCACAGTAAAATCCTGGACTACTGGCCAAAAAGGGTCTCTGGTGGCCTATAGGTTAAGAAGCTGCGCTGCAATCCCAAAAGCACATGGTTAAACCAGTTCCTCTACTGCAGAAGGATGGACAATCTCCTCCCATGCAAATAACTGCCTCTGAAAACCACCTGGAGGATCAGATATGAGTTGGTTCTGACTTGAGAGCACACAACAACTATAACTTGCCAAAAAGTTGGCCATTCAAACCTACCCAGAGGCGCTTCTGAAGAAAACCTTATGGAGAAATTCTACTCTGTACATACGGGGTTGCCATGAGTTAAAATTGATGTGACAGAAACTAGCAACAATTATGTGCTAGACCTTACAGATAAAGAAATGTCTAGCAGTTTGTTGTTAT